AGAACTTGAGAATGAGTGGAGTAGATAACATGAATTCGTGTCTGGAACTGTCACCCTGAAAAATTGGTAGAGTGACTACTTAAGTATTTTCTATTGAACGATTAAAATCTGAACTTAGTATTTAGTAGAGATGTCAATTGGGCTCGTTGGCTCGGGTCGCCCGTGACTAGCCCGAAAAAAGCCCTAGCCGGCTCGGGTCAAGCCCCATTTTGAGGTTTCGGGCTTAGCTTAAGCAGGCCCCTGTGGCTCACTAACTTGGTCTCCGGCCTTATGGAAATTCGGTGAATAAGTGATTTAGATATATTTTTATGAAATGTTTTTCACTATTATTGCTTTAAAGTTTTGAATAACGCAGAATGCGAGAACAAGTTATGTTTTTTTCAAAAAAATTACATTTGTTTGTTTTGAAAAATGATTTAGTGTTTTTGTTTAAAGTATTTGAAGTATTGTTATTTAAATTATTATCCGAAAATGTAAGTTTCCGCTAAAACGTATACACTTGTTACTAAATCACCGGTTAAGCTAAGTAAAGTAAGTAGCGTTTCGGTCCACTAGGGGTCGGGGTATTACAGTATATATGGTAACTGGGCAAATTATTTTCTTGACGTGGGTTTGATTTTTACGGGCTTGCGGTTCTATTGTTTTCAACTATGCATTTCAGTTTCATTAATTCTAACTCTAGATGAATTAATATTATCTATCAAGTTAGAATTTCTCACTTTTATTCTGTTGGGAGAAGTATTCTTTAGCACCATTAGTTGTTGATGAACTCCTACCATTACTTGACGTAAGCCCTAAAAATAATCTTTTTGATTTTATGATCATCTATTTCTTAGTTTTCTTAAATAAGTTATTTTTTTTAATTTTAATTTGAATAATTTGAACGAGACACTTAATGATGTAGCAAATTTGTTTTAAACATAACATAAACTTTCTCATATTAAATTAATACTTCATTAAAAATTATAGAATATCAGACATGTTCTGTGTTAATGTTTCATAAAGAAATAATGTCTCTCTCCAATCTATATTAATATTCAATATATATATTTTAGTTTCTTGCTTAGATGGCTTCCTTAATCTCCTATGCATCCACCTCGTAAACTTCTTCTGCAATCAATTTCTTCTATACTCTTTCTTCTCTTTTCTTCAAATCCATCTTCACCAAAAATTTGAATTTTTTATCTTCCGACAACATTAGCTTCTTGTAATATTCACACAATTTCTTTTTGTTGGTCAGAGGAGAATATATCAAAATATATTTTACAAAGATAAGTTAATCACCTAATTTTAGTTGTACAAAGGAAGCAAGATGATATGTTGAAAACAAGAAATCTAAATCATATTTTTTTACCTTGAAAAGAGCCTCAGCATATTCAATCATAGTGCATCCTATGAAAGATTCAATACCATTAGAGATTGTAACATAAACTTCTTGATAACAAATTGAAATTAACCTGAGAAAATATTTTCTAGTAAAAGATAAGTCTTCATTTCACATCTTGTACATACGACAATTTTTTATTCCCCTCCAAGTGAACTCTATCACTTCAACCATTAAATATTTCATACACCATGGATTTAGAATTTTTCTTATGAAAACAAAATACACTTTAGTGATACTATTTGTAACAGTATCATCCAATTTTACAATACCAACATCCATCGTCCTCTTTGTAAAACCAATAGCTTGTATAATTCTCCACCATATAGCAATTTTTGAGTGCTGAGAAAAGAAGAAGACAAATTGAATAGAATAAACCTAAATAAACCTGCCTAGACATTGTAGTAATGTAAATATAAATTAGAACAAATTGACCTAGACAGAGTAGTAACGTAAATATTCATAATAAGTCCCCATTTGTTTCTCATTCTTTCGTCATTCAAATGAAAAATATGATCGTTATCCATCACACCAAGCCACCACATTTAAATTTCTATCTCTTGTATGAGATCCGTAATGACTATATTTTTCGTTATCATTTTTACATAAATGGGAAACAAACGGGGCCTAAATCATGCTCACCTATTTTTAATATTGTTAGTATGTTTAAGTTGTGGATTGATCTCAATGACACTAAAATTCGAAGTGGAAATGTTTAGTTCATTTGTTCGATGGGCATTTGTAAGATTGTGTCATTGCTTAATGAGTTTATTTTGTTTTAATATGATAATAAAATAATTACAAAATATGATCTTCGTAATAGCTTGCTTTTATATTCAAAGATGCAATAATTGGCATTTCATGATCAATATCTTCTATAAGCTTTCTTTCGTTGTCAACCAAATCTCCCCACAAATATAATTTCTTGTATCACACCTGTATTAAGAATAAAGTTGTTGAGTGATGATATTGTAAAGTTCTTCTTTGCTTTCTTTTGATTAAATAATAAAATTGTTTGATTTTATGAATGATATTTTCCCACTGTCTAGGAGAATCACTTCACATTTCTTCATTGTTCTATCATTTGGTCTTTTAACGTTGATGACAAATGCCGGTTTTACTTTGATTACCAACCCTACGGTATTTGAAAACAAAGAAAAAAAATTGAACAAAAAATAATTTATTAACCAGCGAATAGCCTTAGATATAATCAATTTCTAAACAATTGCTATTATTGACGTGGTGGGAAGGTTTTTCAGATTTCAATAAATAGCTAATAATAAAATGAGAGCTAATTATAAAATGCAGGTAGAGTTTTTGAAGTTTTAGAACTAATACTCAGTAAGACTTATCGAACATGATTGTAAACTATGCATTTGACTGAAAAATATAATTAAAAATAACGATGTATCGAAATTTGGTACTTCACTATGATGAAGAAAAAGAGTTTAATATCTTATCGCATATAAGTTCAATCATTTCTTCTATCTTCATTGTAGTTGTGAAAGATAATTCAATATCATCGTTCACATTTCGATGCTTCCCATTGACATGTCTTATGTTTCCATTTTGTATAATGTAAGACTTTCCATTTTCAATTACAACATCAAAATTTTTAGTTACATCATTGAATAACTTGGCTTAAATTTTATATCCCTATAGAGAAGTCAAATATTGTATTACTTCTCATATATAATATAATTAAGAAATAAATAGTCATCGTCGTAGATGTATTACCTCCTTATCAATTAGAATGAGCCTCAAAATATAAAATTTACCCGCAGTGTTGGAATAAGATTCAACCAAACTCTTTGGAACTACCATAACAAGGGACCATTCATTTTCATACTTTGGTAAGTCTCTTATAACTTTAATTCCATGATGTGGGAGCAACATGAGGGTTGGCACAGAGGGTTCGAGTTGGGACAACCTCAGCCGTCCCACCCTGTCGAGTAATTTCTCATCCTATACCCACCCTGTTACCCATTTAAGGTAGGCGGGGCCCTTGTCTCATTTAATATCCATTTAATTTTTTTTTTCTAATAATTCATTTTATTGATCATATTCATTAAAGTGAGACAATGATATATTTATTAAATTTTTTAACTTATTTGTTTATTTTTAAAAGTTAAATTATTCAAATATATTTGGTAAACTAATTTTGATTGTTTATCATATTTTTTAGATAATTTTAGTTGCCATATTTTATTAGAATTAATGGAATTTCGTGGATTTTTTCATTTAAAGTATTGAATTAAAAAAAAAATCAAACAGGACACCCAGTCCCCGACCCAAATACCTGATTAAGTGGGTAATCTATGTCAATTTCAAGGCGGA